CAGCAGCCAATTGCACACAGCAGCGTCCCACAAACAGTCGTGGATTGTGTGACCAAATTATTATTATTATTATTAAAACAATCCACCAATCGACTAACAAACCGGGTTCCTATTTACTGCTGGTAAACAGAGACGTGTGTGGAGTAAGGAAACCTGCCTAATGTTTGGCCCTGATCAGGAATCGAACCCGGATCCTCTCGGATAATTCACCAAAGGGAATGGAGAGAAACCGAGCCAATCCTAACCTGGAATAATAGACAGGAGACATTTAAATGGACTGGGAGATGGTTGGTAACATGGACGCAGCCTCCAGCGACATCCGCTGAATTTAATATCTGCTTCTATTAGAATATTTCAAGCATCAGGGAATAAGGTGTGGAGGTGGAATTCCTAACCTCAGCCCTGTGGTGCATTAATAAAGAGCTGAATGAGAGGACCTGCCTGGAGCCGTCTCACAAACATGAGATGCTCTCCACAGCTGATTCCATTATGTAAATCACAGCATTGAACAGCAAAGACTGTCTCCATCACTGAGATCCTGTAGGGTGTCTGTCTGTCTGTCTGTCTGGAATGGAGTGGGCACTCTCTCTTTCTCTCCCCCCTGACCCACACCCACACATACCGTTGTGTGTGTTTCACTGTGTGTGTTTCTCACTGTGTGTGTGTGTCTGTGCTTTGTGTGTGTTGTCTCTCTGTATGTTTCACTGTGTGTTTCTCTCTCCCTCCAGGTTAAATATTTTTTAAAAATTGCAAGCGCAAGAACAATTAGCATTAATATATATATGTATATGATGCATAGCATAGCATCCCTCACACTGGGTAGATTCCCAGAGTTCTTGAATTAACCAAATGCCTTGGATATCTACATGGTTAGGAACCTTGTCCCCAAACAGCGTGGGAAATCACTGCTGGCATTTACTCCACTTGTTGAGGTGATGTGCCTAGAGGTACTGTGACCATGTACACCCTGACCCCGTCGCCCTCCTGAGAGGGTATTTGAGAGTATCTGTGCTCCACCCTGACCCACTTTACCTGCACCTGCGGCCAGGCTGGGCCCCTGTAACAGTTAGTCTGACAGTTGTTGCTAAGCATTCCTGTGCTCCCCTGCTCTCAGCTGTTAACGACATGAATTGATTCTCTTTCATTTCCTAGATGCTGGGCCGCCCGACATCAATTGAACCGATCAGCCTGTCACGCTGTGATTCCTTCCTCTGCTGATTATTGGTGGAGCTCAGTGGTTAGAGCAGTCGCCTCGCAAGCAAGAGGACCTGGCTTCAATTCCTGGTCAGGGCGAAACCTCAGACAAGTTTCCTTACTCGGCACGCCCCTGTTTACCAGCAGTAAGTAGGAACCCGGTCGTTAGTCGATTGGCGATTCGGTTTTCCGGGGGTAATAATCCTTTTTTAAAAAAATGTGGTCACTCAATCCACGACTGTTTGTGAGACAATCCCCAGATTAATCGATTATTCACTTCACGACTGTTTGTGGACGTTAACGTGTGGAAGGCTACAGGGGTCCTGGGCTGAACGGTCTTCTGTGATGTCAAGTTCTACAAATCTATGAATAATAATAATAATCCCTGCATTTGACATAGACCCTCATCTTCCACCGTGCCATCGGCCACCCTCCCTGCCCTCCACCCCTCAGCTTGGGTCCAAATCCCTGACTGTCCAGCACCTTGGGACGCCCTCTTGACATGAGAGGCACTGTGTAAATGTAATGTGTTGTTGCTGTTCCTCCACATGCCTTGAGATTACGGCAGGGGACGCGGGAGGGAACCGGTGAAGATCCTCACACACTGGAGCTGAACGGTAGGACGGGGGGAGCAGACATTGTTCGCTTGTTATCCCGGCTCCCGGGACCTCAGTCTCTCTGACCTCAGACCAGGTTCAGTCAGGCAGAAAAAGATGAAATGGCTTTAAAGCCAATCGAAGCGGGAAACTTTGGCACTTAAAATCAATTATTCATTGAATGGGAATCTGAAACATTAAACAGGAATATTAAATTTGATGTCTCTCTGAGCACGGACACATTATAGGAGACGGGCAATTTATCCCCTGCAGAGCCAGAGACTGTGAGGTGTGTGTGTGCGCTGGGGGGGGGGATCTTGAGTTCATCAGCAGGGGGGGGGGGGGGGGTTACTGGTACTGTCTCCATTAGGGTGACACACCTCCTTCTGGGGAAAGAACAGGCAAATCAGCAGATCTGTCAGGGCAAGTTTCCTTACGCCACACACACGCGCCTCTGTTTACCAGCAGTGAGTAGGAACCTGGTTGACCGATCGCTTTTCCGGGGTGTTAATAATCCCTTACAAAATAAAACTTTTAATAAATAATGCGGTCACTCAATCCACGGCTGTTTGCGGGGACGGCGCTGTGCGCAGTTGGCTGCCGCGTTTCGCCCACAAGATAGATGAAGTCAATTCACCGCACGGTATAGTCAGTGAAGCGCTTCGAGACGCCTCGAAGGTGTCAAATGCCAGGAATATTATGAATGGATCCTGTGGGCGGCGTTGCTGCCATCTGCTGGCCCCGGGGGCGCATGGCACCGGGCACGTCCACTCCGGCTCCATCAGTGACCACAACCGAGTGAGGTGGAACTCGCCCTGGGGCTGACACACACACCCACCCACCCACACCCACCCACAGGCTGCCTGGCCTCGCTGCCGCGACACTGACTGGGCAACGTTCTCCGGTTTCCTTGGGAGTTTCAAACGGAATAATATCACGTAATCCTTGCGTTTTGCAAACGTTCGAGTGACGGCCTAAGGGGCTGTATCAAACACAAGGATTATTATTATATTTGGGCGAGCAAGAGGGCGAGCGAGGGAGGGAGGGAGGGAGGGGGGGGGTTTAAATTGACACACAAATAAGGAGCCTGTATTTAAATTCTTACTGAGCTGTGACATTAGGTGTTCACTGAGGCTGACACCGAAGGCTTTGGTAGTTTATTGCAAGAGGACCGGGCTCTCTCTTGTGGTCAGGTGTAGGATGGCAACACCGTCGCCAGCTCTGATCTCACTATTATTTAATAATAACATTTGACACAGCGCCTCATCAGGTCTTCGAGATGTCTCCCAAGAGCTTCACAGAATACACTGTAAAGTGAATTGACTGTATGTTTTATCGGTGAAACGCGGCGGCCAATTACGCACAGCAGTGTCTGTCCCACAAACAGTCGTGGATTGAGTGGCCAATTTATTTATTTATTTATTTATTTATGAATGGGTTATCATCCAAACCCGACTTCTGGTCTCTGAGTGGAGCTGAAAGCAAAGCCGCCACCTTATTACACAGCTCCCAGCAGACACGTGCAGTCAAGAGGGTGAGATCAATGTGGATCCAGCAGGTCAGTATGTGAGTGTGTTGTGGGGGGGGGGTGGGTTGTGTGTGTGTGTGTGTGTGTTGTGGTGGGGGGGATAAGGGTGTGCGCATGGGGTAGTGGGATGGGGGGAAGGGAGAGAGAATGGTCAGTGTTCAGGCTTCACGACAGAAAGGATGACACGAGGAGACGAGTTGCAAATCTCCGTTTTATGAGCTTAAACAAAAATATTCCAAAAATATAAAGTCAGGAGGTGTCCGCAGGCGCTGTGTACAAAGTTCTGAACAGTCAATAGAAAACGCTCTCCCTCACTGGGCGCTGAGGGGCTGGGGCTGGGTCCAGCCACATTACACTGAAAACTCAGTCACACGTCACAATTCATAGTGGGGGGGGAGACTTCTACACTCTATAGAACAACAGGGGAAGTTGCTCACAAGCAGAGATCGATTATTTATAACAAGCATCTAAAATACCCACGAGACACACTTTTATAAGTTAAGGTACTTGGGGGTGGGGGTTGGTGGGGAGGGGAGGGAGGCGGGGAGGGGAGCGAGGGGGGCAGGAGACAGAACGAGAAATCCCAACACTGGGGTAATAATTAAGACATTTTGTCGCACATCACCAGACAGACTTGACGGAAAGTAAAACCCTGTCGTTAATTCAGGCTCCACTACATGGCATTCTCAGTCCCTGGGAATAAGCTTCGACCTGGCTGTGCCCCTGACCCCCCTACTCCCCACGTCCTCGCTTCCCCCCAATCTCCCCCCCGGCACACAGCCCATCAGGTCCCCCCCCCTCCCACAGTCCAGCCCTCGGCCCTGCCCCCTCCCTCCCTCCCTCGACCAGGGCAAGTCAGGATCCCCCCATTTCAACACCTTGTTGTTCACCACGTCACAATTTTATTCCTCAATTTTATGAAGTTTTGACTTTCGAGTTCAAGGGGGGGAGGGAAGTGGGTGGGGGGAGAGTGGGGCAAAGCGAGGCCAAGGCCGAGGGTGGGGTTGGGGGGAGCATTGGTCATCTTTATCTGGATTGTGTGTTTATCAGTCTCTCACCCACATTAAGAGGACTGGCCAAGTGGATGGAGGGGGAGTGAGTATAGATGGGGGGGGGGGGGGGAGCGGGATGGAAGAGATAATCTGTGTCGTTAAATATAACACACTGTGAGTGAGTGTATGAGTGAGTGAGTGTATGAGTGAGTGAGTGTGTGAATGAGTGAGTGTGTGAATGAGCGAGTGTGTGAGTGAGCGAGTGAGTGAGTGAGCGTGTGAGTGAGTGAGCGAGTGAGCGTGTGAGCGAGTGAGCGTGTGAGTGAGTGAGCGTGTGAGTGAGCGTGAGTGAGCGAGTGAGTTAGCGTGTGAGCGTGTGAGTGAGTGAGTGAGTGAGTGAGCGTGTGAGTGAGTGTGAGTGAGTGAGTGAGCGTGTGAGTGAGCGTGTGAGTGAGCGTGTGAGTGAGTGTGTGAGTGAGCGTGTGAGTGAGCTGGGCTGCTGACAGTGCAGGCAGCTTTACTGTGTGGGTCTGTCTCTCCCTCGCTGAAGGATTAAAGGTGTTAAACCTCAGCCAGACACGGCAACGGGAAGTGCTGTGTGATGGCGGGAGCAAGTGGAATAAATAATAATAATAATAATAATCCTTCCATTTGATATAGAGCCACATCACGTCTTCGAGACATCTCAAAGCGCTTCATACTGTAAAGTGAATTGACTGTGTATTTTGTGGGTGAGATAAGAGGAAGGAAATCATGTGGTCTCGGAAACACGTGTGTGTGTGTGTGTGTGAGGGCACGGGGTGAGAGGGTGGGGGTGTCTGTGCTGTCCACGTACTTGAGACAGCGTGCGGTGGGCATGTTTGTGGCCACTAGGGTTTGGTCGTTGGATCAGTCTGGCTGCCAGTGAAAGCCTCGGTCAATCCCATTACTTGGCATCTGTGGAAACAGGAGAAAATTATAGTAATAATAATCCTCACATTTTACACAGTGCCTTATCAGGTCTTTGAGACGTCTCAAAGCGCTTCACAGGATATACTGTAAAGTGAATTGACTGCGTGTTTTGTGGGCGAAACATGGCAGCCAATTGCGCACAGCAGCGTCCCACAAACAGTCGGAGATTGGGTGGCCAAGTTATTACTTTTTTTAAGGGATTATTACCCCCAGAAAAGTGATCCACCAATCAACTGACAATTGGGTTCCTACTGACTGCTGGTAAACAGAGGCCTGTGTGTGTGGAGCAAGGAAACTCGCCCAAAGAAAGAGGAAGAAATACAGACCTGCGTCCCACCCTTCAGAGACCCCCGCCAGCTCATAATGCTTCTTCCTCAGGCCTCCCAGTCGCTGCCTCTCTTTCTGCAGCTGGTTCTCCAGTTCCAGAACACGTACCTGTGAGGGGGAGAGAGCAGCACAGAGACACACACACATTACACCACGTCCGGGAACCCTTCCCATTGCTGCTGCCCATACACGAGCTAACCCGCCCAGTCACTGACCTGGGAGTGTGGACACACAGTGTAGAGGGAGCTTCACTGTGTCTCTAACCCTGACCTGGGAGTGTGGACGCACAGTGTAGAGGGAGCTTGACTCGGTATTTAACCTCTGTTCTACACACAGTGGAGTCGGTGGGGGGTGGGGGTTGCGGTTGCTGAGAAAGGTGTAAAGTACCTGTGTGTCCATCTCCTGGCGTTTGATCTGCGTCAGTGTCATGGTGGAGAAATCCATTGTGTCTGCAACGTGCAAATGACAAGAGTTAGAGACACAATAATAATATGGTCGGGATCGGGAGGAGGTGGAGGGCAGAGAAGGTGGGGGCAGGGCGGGTGGGAGTAGGAGGGTGACCGAAGGTGCAGTTGGTCGAAGAGGAGGGTCTTGAGGCGAGGAATGGGGTGAGGGGGCTGGACTGTACCTTTCTCTTCGATCTGTGACTTGCCCGACTTGGTTGAGGCCACCACATTGGCGGTGGCTTCGTTGACCCCGCGGGAAGCTTGCTGCAGCCGCCCCAGGTTGGTGCTCTCCTTATCAGCTTTCACCTACGGGGGAGAGGGGAGAGGGTGAGGGTGGGAACACCATCAATAACAGGACAGGAGTGAACTCAGGCAAAGCTCTCACTTGCTTTCCCGCTGCTCGATGGTGGAACAGAGAGCACGAGGGAACAAGCAGGACATTTCACACACTCGCTCACTCACTGCCTCACAGACGGTAGCTACACACACACACGCACACACGCACAACCCACCTTGGAGGCAGCCACCAGCTGTGCAGTACTGGCTGCAATCTCATGTGAGCAAACCATCAGCTCCTCGAACTTCCCTTTCCCCTGGACAACCAAGTCAGCCGCGTCTCTGAGGAGCACAAAGGACACTCAGCAACCAGCAGTGAGTAGGAACCCAGTTGTTAGTCGATTAGCGGATCCCTTTCCAGGGGGTAATACAAACAAATGCGGTCTCTTAATCCACGGCTGTTTGTGGGACATTGCTGTGCGCAATTGGCTGCCACGTTTCACCCACAAATATACAGTCAATTCACTTTACAGTGTATCCTGTGAAGCGCTTTGAGACGTCTTGAAGACGTGATAATGCGCTGTATCAAATGCCAGGATTATTATTATTATTATTATCATTATCACACTATGATTGTATGATTAGCAATAGGCTGTGACTTACACTAACACAGTGGCTCCCCAGCCCACAGCCTTGGAGGCAGAGATCAGGCCTTCAGTCCACCTCGAGTTCTTAGCGTAAAACTCTTTGTGAGATGCTGCCCCCTGTCAAGAGCAATAATGGCACTGAATACAGACAGGCAGACACACACACAGACACAGACAGACACACAGACAGACACACACACAGACAGACAGACACACACACAGACACACAGACACACACACATAGACAAGACACACACACAGGCAGACACACACACACACACACACACACAGACAGACACACACACAGACAGACACACAGACAGACACACACACACATAGACAAGACACACAGACACACAGACACACACAGACACACACACACAGACACACACACACAGACACACACACAGACACACACACAGACAGACACACACACAGACAGACACACACACACACATAGACAAGACACACAGACACACACACACACACAGATATACACACATAGACAAGACACACACACACAGACAGACACACACACACGCACAGACAGACACACACACACGCACAGACAGACACACACACACGGACAGACACACACACACGCACACAGACACACACACGCACAGACAGATACACACACACAGACACAGTCAGCCAGACCGACACACACAAACAGACACACACAGACAGACCAACACACACATGCAACCCCCCCCCCCCACCCCACAGCAGCTCCTCACTCTTCCGCTCTCTACAATGTCCCTCTGAAGGTCTTTCGATGTTAGGACCAGCAGTTTGATGGCGTCCATCAGGTCAGTGCAGGAGGCCAGGATCCTGCAGTAAACAAGAGGTGCTCAGTTACAGCGAGTGCATGGCCCTGAGCCGGGGTGGGGGGGGGGGGGAGATAGGTGGCCGTAGGCACCGTCGAAGAGGAAGGTCTTCAGGCGCGACCTGAAGCTGGGAAGGATGGGGCGAGGTGGAGGGAGGGACAGAGGGTGAGTGTCCCAGAGTTTCGGGGCGTAGTGGCTGATGGTGGAACGGAGGGCACGAGGGATGGGCAGGAGGCCGGAGCCAGACGAGTGGAGGCAGCGGGCAGTGGGTTGGGGGGGTGAGCAGGTCAGAGAGGGAGGGAGGGAGGGAGGGAGGTGCCGGGGCCTGAAGGGATTTGAAAACGAGCGCGAGGATCTTCGACGACGTTTCCTGACAAGAGTCCCGGTTGTGAGCGGCCGTCGCTGACCTCTCGTTCACTTCCAGCTTCACCCCCGTGTCCCCGGCTCGGGATTTGCTCAGCATGTCCTGCTCGGAAGATCAAAACGTTCGTGTTAAAGACTGGGCAGCGTATCGGGCAAGTTCCCCTCCCCCGAGACTCCCCTCTTCACCACCGTGACTGGCCCTTCCTTCCCGAAGCGCAGTGAGAGCCACGTCTCGTCGCGTTTCACTCGATGCACCGCAAAGTCCGTTGATTGCGTGTTTCGTGGGCGAAACGCAGCAGCCGATTGCAGAACAGCAGCGAGTGCCCCACAGACCGTCAGGGATTGAGGGACCGAATCATTATTTTTTCAGCCATTGATTTTTTTTAAAGGGATTATTACCCCCGGAAATTGACTAACAACCTGCTTCCTGCTGGTGAACAGAAGCGCGTGCGTGGGTGTGTGTGTGTCTGTGTGCGTCTGTGTGCGTGCGTGGGTGTGTCTGTGTGTGTGTGTGCGTGGGTGTGTGTGTGTCTGTGTGTGTGCGTGGGTGCGTGTGTATCTGTGTGCGTCTGTGTGCGTGCGTGGGTGTGTGCGTGTGTGTGTCTGTGTGCGTGCGTGGGTGTGTGTGTGTGTGCGTGGGTGTGTGTGTGCGTGCGTGGGTGTGTGTGTGTCTGTGTGTGTCTGTGTGTGTCTGTGTGTGTGCGTGGCTGTGTGTGTGTCTGGTGTGTGCGTGGGTGTGTGTGTGTCTGTGTGTGGGTGCGTGTGTATCTGTGTGCGTCTGTGTGCGTGCGTGGGTGTGTGTGTGTCTGTGTGCATGCGTGGGTGTGTGCGTCTGTGTGCGTGCGTGGGTGTGTCTGTGTGCGTGCGTGTGTGTGTGTGCGTGTGTGTGCGTGGGTGTGTGTGTGGGTGTGTGTGTGTGTCTGTGTGTGTGTGCGCGCGCGCGAGGAGTAAGGAAACTTGCCCAAGGTTTTGCCCTGACCTGACCCGCCCGGGAATCGAACCCGGGTCCACTCGCCTGCGAGGCGAGGGCTCTAACCCCTGAGCGACAAGACTCCACGCGGCCCGAGTTCTCTGTTATACGGAGGCTCGCGGCCGGCGCGGTGGCTGCTGCCCAGCGCAGCGTCAGTGAAGCCGTTGTTCTTTTACGGCCGCGCAAGAGATGATCCCGAGCTGCGCTCCAGCCCCACCTCGATCCTGGACGCAGCTGTTTCGACAGCCTGTGATGTGGCCGCCATCTCCAGCTCCACCAGGTCCCCCAGCTCCTCCTGCTTAATATCCCTCCCTTTGGGCCTCAGCTCCTGCAAAACACACAGCGCAGCACAGGGGTCAACTACAGCCCTCACACACAGCGCAACACAGGGCTCAGCTACAGCCCTCACACACAGCACAGGGCTCAGCCACAGCCCCTCACACACAGCACAACACAGGGCTCAGCTACAGCCCTCACACACAGCGCAACACAGGGCTCAGCTACAGCCCTCACACACAGCACAGGGCTCAGCTACAGCCCTCACACACAGCACAACACAGGGCTCAGCTACAGCCCTCACACACAGCACAACACAGGGCTCAGCTACAGCCCTCACACACAGCACAATACAGGGCTCAGCTACAGCCCTCACACACAGCACAACACAGGGCTCAGCTACAGCCCTCACAAATAGCACAGGGCTCAGCTACAGCCCTCACACACAGCACAACACAGGGCTCAGCTACAGCCCCTCACACACAGCACAGGGCTCAGCTACAGCCCTCACACACAGCACAGCACAGGGCTCAGCTACAGCCCTCACACACAGCACAGGGCTCAGCTACAGCCCTCACACACAGCGCAACACAGGGTTCAGCTACAGCCCTCACACACAGCACAACACGGGGCTCAGCTACAGCCCTCACACACAGCGCAACACAGGGGTCAGTGACACACAGCAACAGAGAGAAATAGACAGATAAGAGTCACACACCCCCTACGCACACAGAGACACACACAGAGACACAGACATACACACACGCATGCACACGCACACACACACACACACAGTACAGGTGTCAGACAGGGCAGCACAGGGCAGGTTTGAGCAGAGGCTGATGCTCACCTGTGCATGGTGTTGATTTGACTCAGACTCTCTCGGACGTGGGTGCAGTTGGCACTGCTCAGAGTGGAGGCTTCCCTGAGGCTGGAGAAGTAGGAGAGGACTTCCACACCGCAGTGCCTGCACATCTCGGTCAGGTCTGCGATCAGAGGAGACGGGAATCAGCCTGGGGGGAGGGAGGGGGGGCTCCACAGCCAGCAGCCAGGCCCGAGCGGGTGTTAATAATAATAATAATGTTAATATGTTAATCGGAGCGCTCACTCGTCACTGAACGTAAATCCAGGCATTACTCACGATCAGCCTGTTCCATGGGGGCCATGTGAGAGGTGGCACTGCCCTGCACAACGGTGTCGCTCACCAGGTGGGCAAAGAGAGCCACAGACTGGAGCAGCTCAGTGACATCTGGGGAACAGCAAACCAGCAAAACAGAGAGAGACGGTTAAACAGGGACTGGGGGAGGGGAGAGAGGAGAGGGAAGAGAGGGGAGGAGAGGAGGGGGGGGGGGGAGAGTCAGGGGGAGAGTCGGGAGGAGAGAGGGAGAGGAGTCAGGGGGAGAGAGGGGAGGAGAGCGGTGGGGGAGAGCGGGCGGGGGGGAGAGAGGGGGGGAGAGAGAGGGCGGGGGGGAGAGAGGGCGGGGGGTGGCGCTGTGCAGAGCTGCGTTTGCTGAGATCCTACCTGAGGGGTTAGCGAGATACGCTGTGTGTCCGACCTCCAGCCTCTTCAGAGAGTCCAGGGCAGCCTGGCCTCTGGTGATCAGGTAATCTGCAGGGAAGCAAGTCAACAGGTGACTGGTGATCCCATCCGCCATCCCCCGGGGCCAGGCTCGGGCTCTCTCTGTGCTGATGACACTCACCGGCTGAGCTGGTGCAGCCCACGTGGACTGGGTCGTCCAGGCGCCCGAGCGAGTCCTGCACCATCCGCTCCCCCTCCTCCAGCGTCGAGCGCAGCAACGCAAACTGCTCGGCCACTAACTGCTGCTCCAGCTCCTGCCTTCGCTTCTCCTGTCAGCAACACACAGTGTGAGCGGCGTCACACACCCACACAGTGTCACACGCACACACACACACGCACAGTGTCACACACACACGCGCAGTGTCACACACACACCGCGGTGTCACACACATACGCATTGTCTCACACATGCACAGTGTCACACACGCGCAATGTCACACACACACACACAGTGTCACACACATACATACACACACACGCACAGCATCGCATACACACGCAATGTCACACGCACACACAGCGTCACACATACGCACACAGCGTCACACACACAGTGACCAGCCTCACCACACACACGCACAGGCACCAACAACAACTTGCAGTTACACAGCGTCCCTCGCGCGGGTTGGGGTGAGGGAGGTGGTGATGTACCTGCTCACTGAGCTGGCTGTGCAGGGTCTCCACGCTGTGGGCAGTGCTCGCTCGGGTTGTCACCAGCTCCTGGTTGAGCTGCTGAACCTGGTTGCGAAGTGAGACCATCTCCTGCTCCCTATGTCCCGCCGTCTCGCTCAGTGTTGCCCTCTCCTGCCCCAACGCAGCCAGCTTCTCCGCCAGCTCTGTGCTGGTCTGCACCAGGGGATAAATCATGTTGGTATCTTTTACACGGGTAAAACCTGCCCGAGCCACAGCGTTAGGTTACAGCAGAGACTCGCGTCACCTACCTGAGACTGCACATCAGCGACAGAGAGTGACACACACACACACAGACGCACAAAGACACACACACACACAGACGCACACACACAGATGCACAAAGACACACACACACAGCCAGAGAAAGACATACACACAAAAAAAATCAATCAAGAGCTTTGTGTGTGTTGCGCTCTCTTGTCTCCAACATGAAAGGCGCTATCTATACAAATGCAAGTTGGTGTTGAAGGATTGAAATAGAGAGAGAGAGAGAGGAAGAGAGACAGAAATAAAGACAGGGGAGGAGGGAGTGAGGAGGAGCGAGACAGTGAAAGCCAGCACAGTGGGTTTGCTGGCGAGGGTGAACAGCATCTCCTGCTGGCACTCACTGACCTGCTGGGATAGCTCCTGCGATGCTCTCAGTGACTGCAGCTCCTCATTCCTGCATTTCAGCTCCTTCCCCAACGACTCCAGGATCTGTGTCTGTTCCTGAGCCTGAAACGGCAGGAGGCGGACAAGAATAAACGGCAACCCGGCTGCACGGGGCAGGCGGCTCTGCCCGGCTGGAGAGCAGGTAAGTCACGGGTTCAATTCCCAGCCTGACCTGAGCTACTGACCTCGGTTGCGGCTTCGACCAGCCCTGGGGTTGGGGAGGGAACACAAGCCGGTCTCAGCAACCGAACACGACAGTCGCTGACCCACCTGCCCGCTTTCCCGCCATTCCCGAATTCTGACCAAAGGTCATCGGCCGGAAACCTGGAACTCTCTCTCTCTCTCTCTCCCCCAAAAGGCTGTGGATTATGGTTGGAATCCATTCAAGTTCTCAAGACTGAGGTGGAAAGACATCTGTCAGGTCGGGGTATCAAGGGATATGGGGCCAGAGCAGGTAATTGGGAGTTGAGGCACAGATCACAGCCGTGATCTTATAGAATGGCAGAACAGGCTTGAGGGGCTGAATGGTCTCCTCCTGTCCCTGTGTTCCCTCCCATGCGAAGGGCCTTGCGGGCCGCCACTCACTCACTTTGTGCTGCGATTCCTCTCTCACGCGCCGCACGCTCTCCTCCAGCTCCTTCTTCACCTGCTCCACGTCCTCCTGGGCTTGTCTCGCGCCCGTCATCTGCCTCGTTACCTCCGCATTCTGTGCCGGACGTAAACAAAGGGGCGCGAGCGTGAGAGAGTCGGTCTGATCTGTGCCTCAACTCCCGATTAAACCGAGTTAATGATAATAATAATGATAATAATGATAACGACCCCGGCATTTGACACTGCGCCTTATCACGTCCTCGAGACGTCACAAAGCGCTGCACAGGACAGACTGTAAAGTGTAGTGACTGTGTGTTTTTGTGGACGAAACAATCCCCAAACCCAGCTTCTGCTGCTCTGCGCAACACACGGAGGCTCCAGCGCACAGTCACCTGTAGCCAGCAGGTGGCACTGTCTGACCAGCCCTGACCCTCTCCACAGTGCCCACTCTCTGGTTGCCGAGACCT